AAGTGTCCCGAAAGCCCCAGAAATAAGGAAGATAGAAGGTCTGGAGTTACCTAAAAGTGGTAGCTCTTTGTTTTCTTTTTAAGAACAGATCATCTCCCTAGTGACTGTCACTCTTTTACCTTTTAATTTCATCTTGTTCTTTCATTCATCCACACACTTACTAGGCGTTCACTGTGCATGTGAGGGGCACCATGGGAAACACCCCAATGAACAAGAAACATCCTTGAGACATACTTGCTCCCGCCCATGAGAACGAAGTCACCGCAGCGAGAGTTTGGAGAAAAGGCCGTTCTCCCAGGTGGAGAGAATCAGGGAAGACTTCCTGTAGGAGCCAGAGTTTGATCTGGACCTTGAAGAACAGATGTTGGATTTTAATATGTGGAAATGTGGAGAGAGAGGAAGAATATGGGAAAAGCCTAAGAATCCCAGTGTGTCCGCAGACAGGGACTAGCCCAGATCACCGTTCTCTGCCTCTGTGCACCCGTGCAAAGCCTCCGTCCAAGGCCAAGTGCGTCAGGTGAGTGCTCTCTCTGCCAGAACAGCTGAAGATGTCTTAGTGCTTTTACACGAACGACTACACTAACATGTCTTTGCTCGAAACAATGACTGTGCCCATCACACACCTGGAGGTAAATTAGCCTGTGAACACAGGAAAGGCAAGGAGGACTTCTGGAGGAGCATTTCTGTCAGCTCAGAAGTTGAGGAATAATAGCTGCGATGTATAAAATACCACCTTTGTGTTGGCCACACTACATTCCCACTCTCTGATCGCCCCTCATGAAAATGCTGGAAAGTAAGTCACGGTGGTCATCACCATTTTACAGATGAAGAGACTGAGGCTCAGAGTGGTTCCATGATTGTTCAAGGTCAGAACAATTTGAAGGAAGAGGAGGCAGACCTAGAACTGTGATGTAGGCCTGACATCCAAACCCACATTATTCTCATTTTCTGGTGTGTGCACTGGACAAGGAAGGCTCCTGTTCTAGATTCTCCTGTGTCCCTGGATCTCAGGCCCTTCTGTCTGTGGCTGTATTTATTCTGCTCATTAGAGCTCCCCTCACTCTAATCCCTTGATACCCCTGATCTGGCCACCCAGTACTTTCAGCTCTGACCATGTGGCAAATCATGAGGACTACAAAGGCAGGATTGCCCCAACAGCCTCTGTGCTAGCCAGGAATAGCTACCACTTCTCGTCCCTAGCAAGGTGCTGATGGCCATGCTCAGAACTGAAGCTCTCCAGGCAGCCAGACTGGCATCTGAATCCTGGGTGTCCCACAGCCTGGCCAAGGGCTCTCCTAGCACACGGTCCAGGCAGGATTCCATTCCTTCCCTGAAGAATAGGGATTGGTGAAAAGGATGAGTATGACTTGGGGGTATGTGGTCCTGGGTTCAAACCCTAGCCCTATCACATCCTGGCTGTGGAATGTACTAATATACAGGTCCTCAAACCTCAGTCTTAATGTCTAAATATACTCAACACAATAGCACGTATCTTGAAGGGCTTGTAAGCATTAGAGGGGCCTGGCACATGGTAGCTGCCAACTGGGAATTCTTTTCAACTTCCGCCCCTTTCTAGGCTGGTTCAGGTGTGCTGCATTCACCTTTGTGTCTGCAACAGCAAACTCAAGGTGCAGCTCATAGTAGAGCTCAATGAAACAGGATAAATCTTGAACTTCATCCTGTCTGTATCTCCAAAGTCTAAGGCAAACTAGGGCCCTCAGCATAAATATGGCCCACTGTCTGATTTTTTAAAATAAACTTTTTTTGGAATAAATCCATGCTCATTCATTTAATTGTTTATGGCCGCTTTCATGTTATGATGTCAGCATTAAATAAATGCAATGGAGACAGAGAGCCTGCAAAGCCAAAAATATTTACTTGCAGAAAAAGTTTGGGGACCCCTGCTCTTGTGTATGAGAACTTTCAATGGGGGGGGCCTGTGAGGGTCTTTGATGAAGAAGACATCCCCCGGCTTCTTCCTCACCCACACGTTATATCCTCTTTTCCTGGTTTTTCTATTCTTCTCTTTAGCTCTCCGGACCATCACATAACTTCTCTATCACTCACTTCCTTATATATGTTGTTTATTTTCTATCAGCTCCACTATAAAGCTCCATGTGAGCAGGGATTTTTGTTTGTTTTGCTCTTTTATCCTGAAATTTTGACCAGTGCCTGGCACACAAGTGGGCACTCCGCAAATATTTGTTGAATGAATAAACATGGATTTTATGGAAAAAAGTTGTTCAACCAAAGTGTGTTGGAGGCTTTCTCTTTCATGGATTAATTTTGAACTTTTAAAGGAACCCAGTAACTCCTCCTTCTCCCCCACCCCACACACACAACCCCTGGGAGAAGAGTATTATTTTTCTTATCTTATAGATGAGACAACTGAGACTCTGGTTAAGTCAGTGCTTCTCAAACTTGAACATGTACATGAGTCACCAGGGATCTTGCTACCATGCAGGTTCTGACCCAGGAGGTCCAAGCAGGGACCAAGGTACTCCCAGGAGGTGCTCCCTGTCCCTAAACACTCTACCTCCAGTCCTCCCCCCCTTCTGTAGCCACCCCACCTCCAGCATCTTCTGCACGGGCCCCTCGACTTTACTTACACACGTGCCCAGGACTTTCTGATCCTTCAAGTGGCTAATCTTACATTTCTCCACTATTTTAGGGCCTTTGGTTAAAAATAAGTACTTCTTTTCGTGGGCCCCAGACAGGCTGGCTTCCTTTCTCAACTCTACCCCATGACCTGTACGAGTGACTACTGCTGGCCAAATGTCAGGGCTATGCCCACTCCCTCCACTTCCATCTGTCTGAAGCAACTCTGCTATCGTCAACCTCTCCTCCTGCAATGGCCTTCTCCTTGTGGTCCTTATAGCTCTCTTTCTGCTTCTATGTCAGCTTTTCCAGGTATTCTCTTCCTCCGAACATTTCACCATGGGCTGGCATGAGTTTCACAATCTAGGATCTGTGACTCAGAACTCCAAGTCTGCACCAATTGAAGGGCTTTTGGTTATCCCTGTACCTTGAACTACAAGTACCTGCATATTTATCTCCTACACTCCCAAACTGTTCATGTTTGACTCCATCAGGGTGCCCAGCATAATCAATGGATGATAGAAAGTGGGCATCCAAAGACAGTGCCATGTACGCTGGCTAAGAGACTGAAAGGGTGAGGTGCCCAAGGGTTGTGATGGGTCATTACATGCCCACAAAGACTGTGGAACATCTATGCCATAAGAACCCCTGAAAGATCAAGGAGATCTCAGGGGCCACCATGATATGTGCCTTGGCCCCTTACAGTTTCTGAAAGGGGAAAGAAAGTAACATTTCGTGAGCGGCAACTTTGTGATAAGCACTTTACAAAATCATCTCCTTTCTTCTTCAAGGTAACTCTATGAGCTAGGCACACTGATCCTACTTTAGAGCTAAGAAGAAGGAAGCTCAAAGAGTTCAGAAAATTTTCTCAAGGCTGCTTAACTGGTGAGCTAAAGTCCTAGTCATCTCTCCTACCACAGAGATGGGACTTGAACCCAGGGCTGCATAATTCCAAAAGCTCATAATTCCAGTATTGTGTCATACCCCTATCCCTTTGCAGATGCAGTTCCCTTTGTTCAGAATTCTTATTTCTTCAATATTGGGTAAATCTGTCTCTAAAAACACTGATAACTACCCCTGCCCCATTAACAGTGAGTCACCCAACCAAGTGCTCTTACACCACAGTGCATACAGACACCTCTCAGTTGACGTGTCAAGTATTTGATGTTATGCTGGTCTCTCAGGTAGGCTTGAGCATTGTTAGGGTGAGGCTCCAAGTCCTGGTCATCTCTCCAACCACAGTGTCTGGAATATAATGTGCATGTTCAATGTCTATTTGACAAGTGAATGAATGAGCAAAGGAAGCAAGTTCTTTGGTACTCCTAGTGTTGCTGGTGGGGCTCTGTTGATTTCTAGATAACACACAGGTAGTAATATCAGAATCTTATCTGCTCATTGCCTGGGTTAGTGACCTGTGGCCCTAAGAACTGAGCAGAGTGGGTGGAAGGGGCTTTTAGCTCCATCTTCATCTGTGAAGGCTTCGGCAGATGATCACTGACAGTCATGGCCCCTCTCACAAGGCTGGGTTTCCCGGGGTGGAGGACAACATGGAATGATGGGCAATATACTTTACCAGGAGCCAGGCATTCTGAATTGAATCCCATAGTTCTGATAACTGAATGTGTGATTTCACATACCTCTCTGGACCTTGATTTTAAGGTATGGAAAATGCATAATAGGAATATGAGACTAATTCAGTGGTTTTCTAATTTTACATTACCAAGAACCTATTTATGAAATATTTCTCCTTTATCCTCATGCTTTGTAAAGGTCTGGTTTAATATTGAGAAAAATCATCATCATTACTTAGAAAGTGTGATAATAAATGAACCGGCAATCAGCCAACAAAATGCAGTGACAGCATGAGATAACTCAGGCTAAAACCCAGCTGAGATACTTCCAGTCCAAAGCAAAGACCTGGATGTCACTTGTGAAGCTGTTTCTAGATAAAGTCATGATTCCCTGTAGACTTCCTGAAATAGTGGAAACAGTTGAGGAATTTCTTCCTAACCTTTAAGCCCCCAGCGCTACACAAATGGACTCCAAAGTTGCTGAGACTGTGATTCTGTTTTATGTGCGCAAGTCTTGCAGGAGGATTAGGTTGACCTCTTGCTGGAATTTGAGGATTTCTACCTAGAAAATTACACTGACAACAGAGAAACAGCCCTGCACATCTCCAAAGATAGGGGGTGAAAAATCCAAGATGGCAGAAACATAATGGACACGAACAATGACTGTGTTTTCAAATGGCAAACATCTACACAAAATAAAAACTGGGGCTACAGACGGCTTAGACAGAAGTGAGTATGAGAAACCCACAGACACTTGGTTGGTGCAGGGAATGCATGCTATAGGTTCCCTTACAGGGCACAAAGTAAAGTTAACCCAGGGTCGATACTTACAAGTAATAGGAGTAGGAATAAGCATTTCTTCTATATATTGATGGGCAGTCAGATGAAGGAAATGTCCAAAAAGGGGGAAAAAGAAAAGACAAATAAACAAGAATTAGATTTATATAAAATCTTGATTCTTAGAAATGCACATAGTATTTCAGCATCCCTAAGCTCAAGGAGATGCACGTTTCTCTACTAGTCATCTTTGCTGAGAATCAGACACTTTCGGTGCTAGAAAAAAAAAATGAGAGAGGCCTCTTCTATGATGGAGAAACGCACTACTCATACAGAGGAAGCCACATCTCACGTTGGCTATGTCAGTTGCTTGAACGTTCTTTCTTACGGTCACCTAAAACTAGCACTGTTGATTATGACATTTTAGTCTTGGGTCAGATTTCTCTGGCCTGGAACTAGTCTATCACTCTTTCACATGACAGTGCTGCTATGATCAAAGGAAAACCATAATGACTTCTATCTTTTCTGTTTCAGGTAAAATCACATCAGTCTCTATTTAGCAAGGTCATGCCAGAAGCAAGGAAATCGTGTAGCCAGCATCCAAGATGGCTCCCCAGTGATCCACACATCCCAGTGCTCACACCTCTGTGTACTGTCTTGCCCCACACTGAATCAGAGCTGGCCCTATCTAACCAATAGAATGTAATAGATGTTATGCTTTGGGACTTTCTAGAATAGGTCAAGAAGAAGCCTTGCAGCTCAGACTGGGTCTTTGCAACTCTCACTTTGAAGCCCGAGTCTCCGTGTAAAAAGTCCGAGTATTCTGAGGTTGACATGCTGCAGAGAGCATGCAAACCAACCATGTGAGAGGCCCCAGGAGGGCATGAAGAGCTCTAGCCAGACCCAGCAGTTCATAACCAGAGCAAAATTCAAACTTCATGAAAGAGCACTGCACTAACAGAGAGGAATTCCAGTCTTTAGTCTGAAGAGACTACAACTGGAATAAATGCTCTGTGCCTTCATTTCTTAATCTGATTCTTAGATTAGTTGAACTAGGTCAATGACATGGGTAAATACCAATTTACATGCTTCGAGGTGTGGAAACATATGATGCCTCAGCATCCTAGTACTACCACTTGCTAACTGATGGCCTGGAGCAAATCACTAAATATCTCAATTTCTCCATCTCAAGGTTGAGGGTAATAATTATCTATTTGCAAAAGTCATTGTGGGCATTAACATTAAATTATATTAATCTAAATTATATTCAAATTATATACGATATATAAAGTATTATAAGAAAATTATATGAATCTAAAGCAATAGATTATATTAATCTAAACACCTGAAATAGAGTAGGCCTCAATAAAGAGGAATTTATGACCCTACCTCATTCACAAATATAAGGTTTGCCGCTTCTCACTCTGGTGACCAAGAACAAAGTGTTCACCTCTTTAGGAATATTAAAATAGTAATAAAATACAAACAAATACTTAAGTAGCATTATTGTATAGTCAGGCATTGTTCTCGGCTGTTATCAGGCATTAAATTATGTATTCCTCACAACCATCCTGGCAGGTAAGTATTACTATCACCCCCTACATTACAGATGAGGAAACTGAGGCAAAAGGGGTTAAATATCTTGCCTAAGATCACTCAGCTGGTAACCAGATTTGATTGAAACATGGCATTAAAGCTCATGTTCTTGATCACTAAACTGCTTTTTTTTTGAGAAAGGAAGAAAACAGATGTGTGAGTCAGGCATTGAGATGCCACATATTTATCTCTTTTAATCCTACCCACAGCTCCAATAATAGAGCATTATTTTCATTTTTATTTGAGTAATCTCAGCTCTAAGAGGTCACTCTTCACTAGGGCTAAGGTTTTGTGTATTTTTGGACCAGTTGCAAGACCTCCATCCTGAGCCAGGATTTCATCACTGTCAGCAGCCCCAGGCTGCACTCAACATTCTGGACCCTCTGGCTTTTATGCTGCTAACCTTCAGGACTCACCTCTGCCTGGACTACCTCCTCATGACAACATGCTTCCTTAGCCTTCAACCTCCACTTCCAAACAGCTTTTCTGAGTTATCCTTCTTGTTACCAAAAGCGAGTGCTATCAAGGCAACTCCAGAATGACTACAGCTGACAATCTTTTATTAATTGAGTACCTTTTCCCAATTAAATGGCAAAGTGTTCCAGGCAGGGATTATAGTTCTTTATTCTGTGACCAAAACACAGTATATATGTGTGCTTTCTGTAAGGCTTAAAGAAGATTTACTGAAGGTCTAAATTTACAAGGATACAGTGATATTGCAAGTAACAGATTGCCTAAGACCAAAAATCCTGAGCAGGAAGACAGCTGTGCTTAGAAAAAAACCAAAACCCAAACTTAATAAATAATGTACTGCAAAATCTTATTTTCAGCTGGCTTGTAAGACTGACTTGAGACACAGCTTCCCTTTTTGTTCCATGCTATGTAAACAGGACTAAATTGTCTATTTAACCATCTAGTTGACCACCTACCCATCCGTCTAGCACATACTGGTAAACCCATCCATCCCTCTCTCCATCCAACCATCCATTTAGCTACCCACTAAACAATCTATCCATTTAGCCCATAAACACACACACACACACACACACACACACACACACACACACACTCATCTAAATGGAGATACTCCCCCTGTGTATCTCCATGCAGCCCCGACTCTATAGGGTCCTGCTTTAAAAAAAAAAACCCAGTCCAAAGAGCCAAAGGTATACAAAAAGAATTCTAAACTTTAACTTGCATCTTTTACAAACTGTAAGGGAACCCTGTTCGAATCACCCACCATCTCAGAATCCTTTCTGCAACCTTTCATTTTTCAAGGTCCCCTCTACCTATTACAAAACAACCAAGCAACGACAGCAAAACATCCCCTCTCTCTTTTCTCTTCTATCTTTTTTTCCCTTACATTTTGAATGTAATTGATTTAGCTTCTTTCATTACTAGTGGTAAGTCCTTCCCCTGGTCCCCTGGACCTGTAACCCGTTCTCTGTCTGATGTCTAGTTCACTATCACAAAAGAAAACAACTAACAGCTAGAGAAAAACTCTCTTTGGAGAGTGACAAAGAAACCCTAAGGCCAAAGAGGATGAGCATTTCAGGGGAAGAATCTAGGGACATCTGATGTATCCTGGAAATATTTGGCCACAACTTTGGTGAAGACTTTGAACCAGTTGGACCCACGAGGAGCAGGGAAAACGGAGCACCATGCCCGTGTCCGTGAAGGTTAGGGAGAAGACCTCGATCGAGCCAGGGAAGGGGATGCAGCAGGTGTTGGACTCCTGGACCCAGGAACTAACTGGGGATCATGATGGGACTGAAGAGATGCTGATACAGGATCCTGAGTTGTGATGATTTGCCTATTACTTAGGGGTTTCTTTTTCTTTAATAACAGTTTCCCTTTAGGTTGCTGAGGACAGTGTTCTCGCCAGCAGTAAGTTAGTGACAGACTCAATCGGCAATGAAGTTTTCCCCATAAGAAGGAGTCCATGAAACCCTTTACTGGCCTTTGGGAATTTCTAGACATGAGAAAACATTGCAGGTCAGTGGAAAGAGTGTAGGTCTGGGTTAATTTCTCTTTTTCTCCCTCTTTACCTTCCTCCTCTTTTCTTCTCTCTTCCCCTTTGCCCATCCGTACATGATTATCAACTAGTTCAGCAAAACAAATTTTCTCCAGAAGATACTGCATATGTAAACACTGATTGGCAAACTCGCAACCTCCGTCCACGGCCACAACACCTGAGATTTGCCTCTTGGGGAGAAATAGTGATCATGTGACAGCTGCTGGCTGGGTGTGATGGATGATTTTCATAGAGGTGGAAGATGAAGATATGCAGAAGAGGTTAAAAACACACAAAGGGACTCCCTTTTTACTTGTTCTCACCCAGGAAACAGAAAGCTCTTTCCTCCCTCCCCAAAAGTCACACGTTTCAGAAATAGCTGTTGGGAAGGAAGTGAAATTTCTTCACAAGCTCGCAGACGATGGTGACGTGGGGGTAAGCCAGGCTTTAGAAAGAGCAAAATTGGAGGAGCATATCTGACTTACAAATCAGTGACAAAGAATGAGAACACTGCAGGTCTATCAAATAGAAATGCAATTCTATTAAACTGGCTACTTTTTCCAGGTAGACAATGCCAGCCTCCAATGTGCCTGCGATTCTAAGAAACATGATGATGATCTTGTATATGCAATGCGCTTACCCCCCTCCTTCTCCCCCATCCCAATCAAACCTAGCAGCTGACTTATCACCAAGACATTCAATATGGCCACATTTTAAGGATGATGGTAATAATATGACAACGCAGTGCTGTCCTTAACCCTCTGGGGGATCTTGTTCCCCAATATTAACACAGTGCCTTCCCTTCCCCTAACCTCTCCAACCACAAAATCAGCAGCTGGATGAGAACCTTAACTCTTCAGTCATTCACTTGGGAGCCTGAGGAAGAGAGCAGTCCTGTTAGACAAACGATGTCAAAAAAGGACAAGGTCCTACCAATAAGATGTCCTGGCACAGCACGCACTGACTGATTGAGAACAGAACCTTCTGAGACACAGGGACATTCTGGTGCCACAATGGCTAAGAGAAGGCTGACAGCGTGTACAGTGGGAACCACGACATTTCTGACTCATTGATGGCTGAAAATGGGAAATTATGATTATTTTTGTTTCATTTTCTTTATTTATATATTCACATAACCCCTTAACACTACGGTGTCGGGTGAATTTCCCGCCAAAATATAAGATGGCGCGTTAAAATGCCTATATCTTTTGAAGTATGGGTTCGATTGAAATGAAATATTTGGTAATACGCAGTTACAATCGGCCCGAGTTTACACGTTTCCCGCACTCCACCGCAAATCTATATGAACCGAGTTTAAGACGGCTCCCGCGGAGTACGCGCAATTCACGCGAGCCGACTTAACTCACATAACCCCTTAAGTAGAAGCTGGACCACCTTGTCTTTGGGGCAATCTGTCCCTTTGTTTTTGTGGGGAGTGAATTTCAGGAGCACTTTTTATTTACAGATGGAAGCAAGCCCCTGGTCCTTATTACTGGGCTTGCCCTGAACTCTGTGAGTAACCAAATCCAGAGCTTCAGGCTGAGGTGTTAAGCAGTTTGTTTAATAATGTAAGAGTCTCTTTAACTTGGGGGCAGGGAAACTTGCAGGACATATTCTTACAATATAGGTACATGTTTGGTTTGCTCTGGCAGATTCGGGAAGTGGAAAGATGGAGGCCAAGGTTGGGATCATGGTATTGAAGCTCAGAAGACATGAAGATGTATGGTAGGCATGGAAACCTGGTACCAGGCAGGGGCTAAGCAGAGGTGGGCGGGAGGACCTTCTGTTTAGAAGGATAACCAGTACACTATAGGCATAGTCACAGCTAATGCTGATCAGCTTTCCTGGTGGATATTTCCCTTCCCTCTCTGCAATTCCGCTCATTATCCTCCCCTTGTGAGTGCCTGATAAACAAGATGGCAGTGTAGGAATCTTGGGGATGAGGGAGGGATCTGTACCCTGGCTTTCATAAACAATACAGTCTAGAGAAAACACACACCATAGGAGAACACTGTGTTAGTTGACGTGCGCAGGGAGCCATCCTTTTGAGAGGTGACAAGCAGCACCAATCCAGCTGGGCAGGTTTTTGTGGGACACAGAGGAACGAAGGAACTTTCTCTTGAGACTATCCCACTACTGCAAGCTTTATCCCAGTCATGCCGAGCAAGGGCACCGGGAATGCTGCTGCTTGACCAAAGGGAAATCAGGGGTAAAAGAGGATGAGAAGAGCAAAGCATTACTTTTCTGCATCTGCATTTCTGGGCTCATCTGTGTTCCTGGGGCTCCTCAGTTATTTTGATGACATGACCAATCACAACAGAGCAGTGAAATAGAGAAGACCTGTTTCATGATATAAAGAATTCCACAGCACATCAAGGTGGCCGAACCCCTATCCCATAAGAAACTGACCATCTCTGGGCCACACACAACGCAGACAGCACATGCCCTCAGTCACCAACAAGATGAACCACAACTGGCCCAAGTATTTCAGGACCTCGGCAACCATAGCCATAGGTCCTTGCTGGAAAGTGATTAACAGAGCAATGACCTGGCCATGTGGCAGTGTTGTGGCCACGTGCAGTCGCCATAGTCGGCAGGACAGCAACCCAGACTCACCTCCTTTTGATGGTGAGCATCACGCCCAAGAGAATGATGATGAACATGAGAAGACCAGCAATCACTCCAGCCATCTTCACGGTGTTGTCCACCTGCTTCTCTGGCTCCACAGTGTTAGAATTCTGGGTGGAGGCACCTTGCAGGGGAAAAGGGGAGGATAAAGATGTTGAAAAGGCTCATACATGTAGCGAGACGATAATGGCAATGACAATGGCTTATATTTACTGAGAGCTAACTGTGTGCCAGGCACTGTGCTAAGGGTGTTACACAAATAGTACCATTCAATCTTTCTGAGGATGAATCCCTGATGAGGTTGGGATTATTATCATATCCTTTCCTTTCCTTTCCTTTTCTTTTTTTTTTTTTTGCAGATGTAAAAAGGGACATTCAGAGAAATTGAGTCCCCTAGGGTTACACAACCTTATCATCCTCTTTATCTTCCTTATCCTCAGTTGGAGGATTTTATCCCTCATACGGCTTATCTCTAGGATCAAGTCATGGAATTACAGTTTGGTTCTTGGGTTCATGAAATTATTCCAAACCCTACCTCATCCTTTCATGTAAATGGTGAAAACAACAGCTTTATGTTAAGGTAACACAACAAAACTCACTGTATTTACAAAGATAAAAACACAGTTTTGTGTTGTGCCTTACATGAAGCAAATGGTGAGGTAGAAATTTAGTTTTTTAAAAGGAAATTTCCTTGGATTTGAATGCTTGTATGTGACTAAGTCCATGTTTTGAATGTAGTGCTGATGCTGCAGGCTCTGCCAGACTCGAACTCAGTTCCAGATAGAAGTGTCCTCTGCCCCGGGCTGGGCCCTTTCATGGATCCACCTTTGTCAGTCCTCACAAACACTCCAACAAGCAGAAAGGATTTTCCCATTTTGTAGGTGAGAAAACCAAGGGAACTTGCTGAAGGTCACATGGCTGATAAAGGTCAGGGCCAGGATTCCACAGGTTTCTGATCCGAATCTAGGCCTCAAGAGTCAGAAACTCTGTATTCCACTTTCAAGTCCCCTGCCCCCATACAATGATTTTGCTAATAGCAAAAGCAAGCAGGCAGAGAAAGCCTCAGCTCGACCTCTTCATGCAACATACCAGGGAACAGAGGCTACTTCCCCCTCGAGACACCTGTGTGAACACTGCTGGAGAGCACTGCTGGCCTGGCACCCCTAGGAACCCTTCCTGCTGCTCTTCAGCTTCCCTATGGTGCCAGGGAGGCCCCTAAATCCAAAGCATCCTCTTCCTCACCCATCCCTATTTTTCTGCTACCTCAGCACCAGCTCATCCATCATCAGCGACATCTTCTCTGGTTGCCTGTGCCCCTGGGAGGGTTCCTGTCTTTTCTCTCATTTCTGATAACTCTCTGTAACACTGCGCATACCTGAATGTCCCAATATTATTAGTTATTTATTTCCCCATTTGTTTCCTCCAGTGGTTTGCAAGCTCCTCAGGGGCGAGGTTATGCCTCCTCTATCTTTGCTTCCTCATGTTAGCCCACAGCCTGGCTCCTAATAGGTGTTCCCTTAATGTTTGCATTGTTCAATGTTTAGCTGAAGGGATGACATCGCTGCCCACACACATTTGTTCTCATGAAACCAAATTGAGTTTCTCCTTTTCCAGCCACGTGTTCAGAGAACTCAGCTGAGTTGAAGGGACATTAATGCCCGTAAGCTATGATTCTGACTCCCTAGACTCCCTGATGGTTAAGAACATCCCTCCAGCACACGGATGCATCCCCTCTTCTTGCTTAAGAGCATCCAGTGTTTACTTTATCAGAGAACCTTCCCCAGACACTCTTGTAACTTAGAAAAGCTGGGTTTACTCAGCCAAGCCTCCCTAGTGAGAAGGGCAAGTCTTCCAGAACAGGGAGTGCGTCCTAGTCACTTCTCTAACACCAGTGTCTAGTCCAGGCCTCCTTCCTTATAATTGTTGGTTAACAGATGATTATTGAATGTCATATAGGCAAGTGAACCAACAGTTATTTGCTTCATTCATTAATTTGCTACTGAGTACCCATGAAGTGTGCCAAACTGGGCTGTGTGCCAAAATGCTATCAGTGGGGTCAGAGTTCCTCCTTTTGGAAGGAGTTATGGAGGAGGGATTTTTTTTTTCAGTTCCCCTCACCAACTAAAGACAAAACTAGAGTATCAGATCCCAACACCATCTGCACAGGCTTTACTTATCTAGAGCCAGAGAATTCCTGGGGGAGCCAGCTCACCGCCTCTTTGGCAGGGTTGGGCTCACAATCCAGAGTTGGGGCTGGTTCCCAGTAGCCCCCACGCAGCTCCCCTTTCCCAGTTTGGAAACAAGAATTCTGAGCTATGTCTAGTCCCAGAGACATAGGATGTGACTAAGCACACAGGAGGCTGAGCACCTCAGTGCAATTTCCTTAATAGTGTCAGAGTCTTTGTATTTGGATTTGAAGGGATGGTCGGCTCTGGAGCATCTGCTCACAGGCGTAGCTGAACTTGACTTAGTGCCCGCTATGAGATCCTGTTCTAGAGACTGGGGTACAAAGGCAAAGGAGACCTGCAGAAGGTCCCAGTTCCCCAGGAACACCGTTATTAGCTTGGTCTATGAGAGTCACACTTCATTCCTTCCAGATGTAATCACAAGCACCCTCCATGTGCCAGGCATTTGGTGATACACAGTGAGAAAACAGGCACAGCTCCTGCCTTCAAAGAGCCTACAGTGAGTGTTGGATGGGGCTTAAGGGACAGGCTTAATGAACCAAGAACCAATAATAGTAAGCTTTCAACTCTATTAAGGATCAGAACTGAGAGGTGCGTGACACTTGGGAAGTGTTAATGGGGAAATGAATAAGTGAATCTCTTCTGGGAGGAAGTGGCCAGTGGGGTGAGCCCCAGGGGAGGACAGGCTCTAACTAGTGGAAGAGAAAGTGAGAGGGTCACATGGGAACAGCATAAAAAACAGCCCTGGCCCAGGCTGTGTGATGGGGCAAGGAGCCCAGAGCATTCAAGAAATGAAAGAGACGTAGTGTGATGAGGGTGAGAGAGAAGCTGGAGAGGACAGCACAGGTCGGTCCACACTGGACACAAGAGGCCGCAATGAGAGTTTTTGTCCTTAACCCCAAGAAAAATAGAAAGCCATTTGAGTGTTATTCATGGGGCAATGATGCAGTCAGATTTGTATTTCCAACACATCATTCCAGCTTCACTGTGGAGCCAGAGTGGATCGGAGAGATAAATTTTGCAGGCAAATGGGTGGGGGATGATAGTTGCCAGACTCAGATAATGGCAGTGCAGACAGAAAGATGCAATAAGAGAGATAATTACCTGAATTAGATATAAATAAACCTCTTGATGGATTGGATAGGGGAATAAGGGAGAGGGAACTGATGAGGAGGATCACATGTCTTGGGCTTTCATAACAAAGTGGATGATGGTGCTTGCTGTTCATGGATTCAGGAAACAATAGAGAAAGAATACCTTTAGAGGGAAAATGTGTGTGTTTGGGGAAATCTGAGCTTGAGAAATACTCTAGAAAAGTAGGAGCTCTAAAAGGAGGTCTGAGCTGGAGGTAAACATGTGTGATTCATATGCACCTAGATGGTACTTGAAGCTGGGAGTTGATGAAGTCACCCAGGGGGAGAATAAAGAGTGAAAGGAGACGCAGGCTTAGATAGAGACTGGAAGGTCTGTGGTATTTAGTGAGTGGGTCGAGGAAGATGAGCCTGCATAGGAGAAAGAGAAGAACTGGCCAGACAGGTAAGAAAAAGAACCAGGAGAGTATTGTGACCTAGCACCAATAGAAGAGGGTGTTTCAAGAAGGAAGAAGAAATCAACAGTGCCAAGCACTGCTCCTAAGATAGAATCAAGCTCTATACCCAGATGAAAGTGAGATTTTGGATGAGTACTTGACAACCTTTCCCAAATAAGTTCTAAGATGTTTCTAAACAGAAGCACCTTCAGCAGTGATCATGAACTAGCAATGGGACATACTTGGGGGTCACAGAGCATCTGTGACATTCATAGTGGCCACCTCAATGGCCACAGCCCAGTGATTTAGACAGATTTAATAAATTCAGCCGAGAGTCATCGAACTGACATGCCAGACTCTATACAGCAAAGTTACTATGAGGAGCCATGCTTGGCTGGTCCACCTAGTCTCCAGATACAGGGACGTGAACATCCCCTGCGACATGGCAAGTCTAACTCCCACTTCAGCATCCTTTTAAGGGCCTTTGCTCTGGCTGCTGGGGATCTGTGCCTCTGTTCATAAAGGAAGTGCTGACAGTGTTCAAAGGGGATACAGTATAGAGGAAAGGGCTCTGGGATCAAAGGCCAGGCAGGATGCACACGTGGCTGCTACATCTGAGAGGAAAACGAGAGTGATAGAGACAGAGGATAAGCCAGTCCTGGTCTTGTTGCAGTCAGGAATGTGTCCATGGGGCTCACGTCTTAAGTGCTCCCAGAGCAGATGAGAACCTGTGAGAGGACTTAGGAAGTACATGAGGTTGGCTAATGATGGGGGCTCCTGGCATTGTGATCAGCTGTCTCAGGCAGGCGCAGAGCTCCTTATTAAATAGAAGCTCATATCACTACTTCTTAAAAATTTAGCTTAAATGTACTGATCCATTACTGGTGCCGAGCAATGTGCCAAGCACTTTTCATATAATAAGTCATTTGATCTTCTTCGCACTCGATGCAGAAGGAGCTGGTTTTATTTTCTCTTTTATATAGATTAGAAATGTTCACAAAGGGTGACGTGACTTGTCCCAGGCATTATCACTACAATGAACTGTCCTTGATGGAGTTGTAGTTAAGGAAATGCCAGCTCTCAGTCCACATAGAAGAAAAGCCATCTGACCCACTGGCCTGAAATCCAAGGGAACTCATCAGAGAGGCAGAACTGGGAACCATTCAGTAATATGGTAGTTACATTCCAGTTGTCCTAAGCCCATCCTTTTCATGAGAGTCAAACCCCAAAAAGCTCTGGCCCTGGCCCTGGATGACTTCTATCAATTAAGCAGGAACTGGGAGTCTGAGAACTGAGAGAAGGGGATGCATCTAAATGTATCTTCATCTCCGCACTCCACTGGGAGCCAACCTGAGAATAGTCCAAGTAAATCAGAACTGGCAACAAGGTGCCAGGTGGTGGATTTATCCA